TCCCCAGAAAAGTTGTAGTGAACAGAAAGATGGGTGAAGTAGAGGCAAGGGAGTTGAATAAGCTCAAAGTATGAAGTGGGGAAAATAGAAATAGAGGAAGCAGAGGTAGAAAGACCTTTCAAGCATGGGGGCTAAGGGATAGGATATTTTCAGTGGACCATGTTTTCACACCCCTGCACCTTTGCTTATGCCGAAGTACCCATCCCAGACCCTCCAGTGCCCTCTTTCTCCCACCTATTTGCACAAAATTTTTATAGTCAGTATATCTCTGCAGTCCTTGACTGTGAAGTTGTGTGTTGCAAAGCTTTGTATTTTTGAGGACTTGGGCGTTGTGTACAATAAGTGTGCAATAAATGTTAAGCTGGAAAAAAAAAAAGAATTCATGTTTACTAAGGTATTACTCTCTTTCCTAAGATTTCTTCATTCAAAATTTACTGGTTCTCATTGTCAGATTTCTCAGCCTACTCTTGAAGACTTTGTGCAGTCTTCGTCTTAGCAAATTCTCTAGATATCTTTCCTACTTTTCCTATACATTATACCTTCACTCCAGTTAGATCATTCTACTCTGGTATACTTTGAGATAGTGGAGGACCAGAAATTAGAAAAGGAGAGTTCAAATCTGCCTCAGCCACCTGCTTTCTGTAGGGCTTTAAACCTTCATTTCCCTCTCTGAAAATATTTTCATCAAAAATAGGGGTAACAAATATCATCATCTTAAGGTTGTGTTGATCATACAGTTAAATATCAAATACAAGAAGAGTTCCATAAACCCTTCCATACTACACAAATTAAAGGATTTATTACTTATTATTGAATCAGGAAACAGGAACTGTGCCCCACTCATTGTTTTATATCCAGCACCAGGCATAGTGCCTAATACCTAGGCCTTTAATAAATATTAGCTGAGTAAATGGACAAATGAATGATAATATAATTGTCTTTGCTGTCTCCTGAGACTCATGAAGAACTTCCCTAACACCATTACTTCCTTCCTTTGACTCTTATGCATCTGTGGTCTGTAAAATTTTAGCTACATTTTCATATGAACTTGACCTGTATTCCCAGTTAGATCATAGTTGAATTGAGGGCAGGGATTTCATTATATCTCTTTGTGTTTGTTGCAGAGTGCTTAGACTTAACAATAACCTTAACTCTCTTAGCAATAGTATACAAACATTGCCATTTTCCCTAAATAATTCTTTAAATTATCAGAGAGGAGTGTGTGTGTGTGTGTGTGTGTGTGTGTGTGGTTGTATGTACCAGATCTAATGAGACCAGAGAGCTACAGTCACTTCTGTGTTAATTGGACTCCGAAATCAAACATCTCACTCTTATTAGCAAGTATTTCCAGATGCAGTGTCTCTCTCTGCCACTAATTTGAAGAAAATACCTTTCACTAACAAACCTTCATTCTACCCATCAAAATGATGTCCAGGATGCCATCCTTGGACAAATACGCTCTTCATTAAAATTTTCTACTTGTTATGTGCTTCATTTTGTTTCTTTTTATTCCTAAGCATCTGAAATATTTAGTTGTATAGAAATATGAGCAGCTCTCATACATGCGATCACAGACTTCTTTGTTTGTTTGTTTAAAATAAGTCCATTTGGAAGGAATAAGTGACAGAACCTTCAAATAGCTGTTGTTTGGAGCTTCAGGGCTATGAGAAGGAAAAAGCTTTCTGGGCTTGGAGACCAAGATAAATAACAATCAATCTCCCATCTTACAAACTGAGAATCTCATCCACACAACTGACTTCTTCACTTAAGCTTGTTCCCAACAACATGACAGACCTTCCAGTAGAATCAGAACAATTTAAAACCTCTTCTGTCATTGTAGCAGGTTTTCATTTTGCTGCCATTGAGGCTGGAGGAACCTAAGAGTTAATTTTAATAAGACTAATCAGCCCATCTTGACAATAGAGGGCAAGGAACAGGGACAGGTAGATAACTGTGTGTTTTGACATTAGACTATTAGCATGCAAATCATATGCAAAATCATATGCTAACAAGTGTGAGCCTTTGTTTGTGGATGGACACTTTTCCCCACAAATGGACAACAGCCCTGATTCAATTCTATATGGGAAGGCACTTAGCAAGGCATCTGATATGCACAAGAAAAGTGTAAAATGCTCTCTGAGCACTTATTTTGACCTCTTTGGAAGACTAGGATTCCTTTAAATTTGACTTTATAGCCTGCTCACCGGAAGGGAGCACTGAAGCACGACAGGGAACAGAAGCCCATGTAATGCCCACACTCACCGCACATAGTAAATAACAGTAGTGAGAACACAGGGCAGCAAAGCACAGACAATGTCCTTCACATCACCCAGAGGCCACTGCAGAGCTCCCAGGGACAAGCAGCATTAATTATAGACTAATGATGCCATTTGCATGCACATTTTTAAAAACAGTAGTGAATATAGCCCTAATAATTGAGGATGAGTGGATGAGGCTGCATTAAAATGCTCTATTGAGTCTCCTATCTCATTTTTAAAAAAAGACCTCTATCACCTTGGTGCTCATCAGTACACACATTAACACTGGGTAACCATGCGACATGGAACATTATGCTGGTTCTTTACAGATACAATCACTTCATCAACTGCTTTTGAAGTGTTTCCCCCACTCTGCAACCTCTTATGATCATACACTCAAGATTCTGGTGGTGGGGGGAGAAAAAAATATAATAACTTTTGATGTAAATGGAAAGACAAATGAAATGTCAGAAATTCTTATGTCATTGAAAAGATAGGATTGCATAAATACTAAATCAGACATCATTTTCTACGAATATTGGGATTGTGTTCTGGGGTAATAAAGTACCCGTTTATGTGATTCAAGCAATTATCCAACTGGAGGACCAGAGGGGAAAAATCAATTCAAGGAAGTAACTTATCTGTTTCCACAAAGCCATGGAGGATCTTGGTATTGTTATGGCTCAGGAGTAAACCCCGTGGCCTCAGTGGAGGGCATCAGCCAAACCAGGAGCTGAGACTTGCAGCTTAGAAGGGCCAGAGGTCCATTCCAGAAGCCTCAGCAGGACCTGGATTCCATAGGATTTCTCCATTCGTTGCCAGAGAGCTCATGGTCAGCCAGGAAGCCTTTCATGCAGAGAGCTTTGTGTTCTGAATTGAAAATAGGCAGATAGGGAGTTTAAGGAGATCCTTTCAAAATTTCTCGTTTTCAAAAACTTCTTTTATAAGACATGTTATAGGCACTCTTTTAATTTCATTTTATGCCCACTCAGTACAGAAGCATCTAAAACAAACTTAAGGGTTGAGTCCATTTGGGCAGCATCTCCCACTCTGACTTCTTAGTTCTTATAATTCCTTTTACAGAATATATTTTTATTCACATATTTATATATTTTATATTTATATATTTTATTTATATATAAATTGTACATATTTTATATATATTTTATTTAATATATAAATTTATTTGTAAATTTATAATATTTATAAAATACAAATATTATATTTTTATATTTATAGATCTATTTAAATTTTTCCCATGGAATAAAATTAAACTTCACTTAACAAAAGAAAAAAAAGGACAACCTCTCTTTGTCCTACTAACAAATGTCAATATTTCAATGGCCTCCTAATATTAGTAAAACGGAGAGCGGAATGATGACAGCTTCAGTACTTACAATGCACAATTTTTGTTTGTTTGTTTGTTTTTTAGAGAGAGAGATCCTGTGCATGAAAGCGGGGGCGGTGGGGAGGGGTAGAGGGAAAGGGAGAGAGAGGGAGAAAGAGAGTCTCAAGCAGTTTCCTCGCCCAGCGCAGAGCCCATCAGGGGCTCAGACTCACCCCTGAGATCATGACCTGAGCCAAAATCAAGAGTCTGGAGCTCAACCGACTGAGCCACCCAGGTGCCCCTCCAGTGTACAATTTCAATAAGACATCTTAATAAAAGTCATGGCATAGGGCATGAAGACCTGAGATGTATGGGGTTTTTAGGGGAGGTGCTAACTGATATGTCAGGATTGGGTAGACCATCCATGCCATGGTTAGAAGGGGGCTCAGGAAATCAAAAATCCTTATAGATAAGCTATAAAAGACTAAATAAGTTAATGGCGTGTTCACAACTGAGGAAAGTGTTCAAGATCATCTATCTCTATGTCTTCATTCTCATTTTGAAGATAAATAACCTGGAATCCGGAGGTTATTCCTTGCCAGAAAAGCTTATTAGTGACAGAACTAGAATCAGAATAGAGGTCGCTTGACATGCACTCCAGAGTTTGAGGGTTGTACTTCTTTCCCCATGTGAGATGGGTTGTAATCAATGCTTTCCCAGGACAATGAAGCTGGGAAAGGTGTATACCGTCAGTGTTTCCCAGTACATGATGTGGTAACTCTTGTGACCGCACTGGGTATGTTTCTCTGTCAGCGGGAGATGGGTGTGAGGACCTTATACAAGAAAGCTCTTTGGGGCTTATTATTAATCACATGAATAATAATACTTTATATTGCTATAGGCTTATGCCTTTTTCAAAGTGCTTTCCTGAGCTTCATCCATTCACTCATTCACCCAGCTACTTCTTCTTATGTACTTTGCACTCTTAGCCTTTATGGATATTGTTTTATTTAGCTCTCATATCAGACCCACAAGGAGGGGTAACTAGCCCATTTTACAGACAAGAAACAGGCCAACAGAAGTAAAGTAACCTGCCCCAGTTTACTGTTACTGGTCAACGGGAGAATCAGCTCTCAAACTCCGGTCTCTCTAACTTCAAAGCCAAACTTCTTAACCACATTGGGGGGGTGATCTCTGCAGTGACACGAATGTGCAACCACCTAGATTAGGTTACTTAATTGCTACAAAAGTACCAGAAGGTCTATGCTATCGTAACCATCTTACAGATCATTCATTCAACAAATATGTGTGGGTGCCTCCTGTAGCCAAGCACTCTTAGGGTCATGGATGAACAAGATACAAAGAGTTCTGTCCTCATAGAGCTTACTTTCAAGGGGAGGGAAACAGACTATCAGCAAGTCATTGTATAAATAAATAACACAATATACAGGTGAACACCAAGAAGGAAACTAAGTAGAACATTGGGAATGGAAGGTATTTTAAAGGTGGAGGTCAGGAGGCCCATACTAGGCAGATGATATCTAAGCAGAACCTCTATAAAGACAAAGAGTGAACTATATGAATCTCGATAAAATGAAGGCTTACCAGGTTATGATGAAACCAAACCATAGAAACACGAAATGGCCTTGCCTGAGGTCACATAGCTAGTAAGTGGCAGAATGGGGAGTCAAAGCCAAGTCTCCAAGCCCTGCCTTCTTTCCATTATAACACATATGGGTTTCTGCAGGTCAATTGCAAACCAATCAGCCATGTCATTTTCATTTTCTTTTATTGTCCACAAGTGCTTTCGAAAACAATTTTCATATAGAAACAAATAAGGACAAGACACGTTTTCCTTTTTGCCAGCTAGTTTAACCAGGAGGAATTTACTAAACACCTCAATGGTGTAGTTCTCAGAGGATGTCAAATAGGAGAATGCCCCATTTTTACTAAAAACAGGGGAAAAAAAGACATTCCCATATTTGACATGCCTTCTTGAATACCATTTCTTCCTACTGTTAAGTCTACGAATGGTTTTTATGGTATACTCAAGTGTATATTTTGTTTGTTTTTGAAAGTTAACTAAGTTGTGTTTGTTCCAGACAAGCCAAAGAAGAAAATCCAATCTCATATTTCCACTTTCCTGAGACTATCTGAGAAACCTGGGCTAACACAGTCCAGGAACCATGGGGAGGGACCTCTGGCTTTCTATTCTTGATGGCCTCCCCAGAGATGCTCACTACCCAAGCTCACGTGGCACGCAAATACTTGGATGGCTCTTGTGGCAGTAGGTGTACTTTCCAAGCCAAACTTATAAACCAGGATCTGCACTCTCAAGGCCACACACCTGGTGATCAGTCCCTAGGCATCCCCACAGCCTCTCCTCCCCCATAGCCTCTCCTCAGAGGTTCTGCCACCCACTGGGGCATTCCATGCAAATGGGCACCATTTGCCAAGTGCCCTCTTCTCTCTGAGAATAATCCACAAAGATATACTTGGATGGGCTCAAAACGCAAAAGTTATCTCCTTTCCCCCCACACCTTCTCAAACTTCAGAGTTCATAAAACTCACTTGGAGAATTTTTAAAACACAGATTGCTGGTCTCTACCTCAGGGATTCTGATTCAGTAAGCCTGAGGTAAGGCCAAAGATTACACATTTCTAACAAGCGCCTGGTGTTGCTAATGCTGCTGGTCCCCTGGACCACCCTTTGAGTAACATTGTTTATGTTACTTTTGCTTAAAAGGGAGAGAAATTTATCTTCTCATTCTTTTTGTGAAAGGGTGGAGGGCAGCAAAAAGGATAGGACCCCAGTTAGTTTTTCAATGACTCACACTGTTACTCTGGTAAAGACAAAAGAGAGAGAAAATAGCAAAGGGAATTTTATTTCCTGAAACAGGTGTGGAATGCTTGGCGGAGTGGGGTTTCAATGGCGGGACCTTATAATTGGGGCTGCCACCCCACCCCAGATCTTGCCTTGTAAACCCACTCTCAGGTAGACCAGCTGCAGGAGGAATAGTTGGGAAATTTCTCCTAGGCAAGTCTAGGCATTTCCTTTTCACTACCAATTACCTAGCCACAACTAGAATGCTCAGCCGCCCTGGCCCAGAATGCAATCCACACAAATACTCATTGTGTGGCAGATCCTGTCTCTGACAGCATCAAGAATTTCATATTGCAAGTACAGGGGGAAGCAAGAGAAAGAAAGAAAAAATACACACACACACACACACACACACCCACACACACACATATATATAACACATTTCAAAAACCGTGAGCTTTGCCTTGCCACCATGCATTTTTCACACCTTTTTTCTGCCTTACACTCTAATCCTGTGTATGTTTGCCCTCTGCCTTCCACTACAATATTCTGCTGAGGATATATTCTGTTTTCTTTGATATTCTGCTGGCTTTTGGCAAGAAGTAGCCTGGAAGAAAACACATTTATATCTAATGCCTCCTTCCACAACCTCATTAAAAAAATAAATAAATAAAAAGTCCATGAGTCCTGCAAGAAATGCTATAGATGTGCAAAGAAATAAAGAACTTGAGCAGAGAGCATGTGCCATTATTTGGAAAGTTTTCTCTTCCCTACCATGTATCCAGGCTTTCATCACAAAGCTATGCAACCCAGGATGAAGAATGTTCTGGAGGTAATCAAAAGGAGCTACTTGTAAATCAACTCAGTCCCAAGTACCTGTTTTCTCTAATGCAGAATAATCTCAAGCTGCTCTGAGGAGCCCAAGTCGCACTTGGAGGATATGTAAACAAACAATATGGAAAAGGTTCCCACAATGTTGGGGCTAGCTAGGGTGGACACCAAAGTATTAAAGGGGTGAAGGGATGCCCTCAGTATTGCTATAGAGCTTTGAAGGAGGCAGGAGAAAGTCTGAGAAAGATCCACCAACAATCACAACACTATTCATCCGAGCATCTCTGTGTGATCATGGCACTGTATCTTCCAAACAGTCTCATCGTGGACACAGCTGGGAAAGCAGAAGGAATACCTGCATTTTTCCTATTCTGAGGCTATACTCAATTTAGGTAGTCCTGTCAGGCCAATTCTGCACTTGCCCTTCTTCAGCAGCTTGTATTATAAGAACGCCAGGTATCACAATGCATTGTTGAATCATTCATTCACTACTCAAACTTTCTCTCTAGCAGCGGTCTCCTCTTATATCAGGAATCATCGTAGTGATTAGTCTGCTTGAGATTCTCTTCTTCCCTCTCCCTCTTCCCTCTGCCCCTCCCCCCATGTTCTCTCTAATTCATCAAGTTTGCTGAAGAGCCACCAGGTAACTCGATTTCCCTCAACAACTTGAAGGAGACAGAGGAATTATCTATTCAAGAGACACAAGAACATATATATAGTTTAGGGTCAATAAAACAACCTCCACAAATGTTAATGTAAACATGGAAAAACATAGCTTTAAAAAAAGGGACAACTAGGAGCAATTCTTCCCCCCAGTGTAACTTTTCTCCTCCAGCGGTAGTCGTGATTTCGTATCTTTTCTATATGTGAGAAAAGGGAGCTGGGCATTTCAGCCATCTACTGACTAATTAATATTCTAACCCAAAATGCTCTGCTATAGATATTAGAATTCAAGTTTCCCACAGGACGGTCACATTGTTTTTAACCCAAAGCTATGATGCTTCGCCTTATAACTAGAAAGGTTTCATTACTGTCTGCTGTGTCTTCATTCTCCTTTGGAATTTCTCCAATTTCCCCCAGAAACACAGGTGGTCTTTTGAATAAACAGAACTAACATATTGAGCTCCATAAGCTCTATGATGAGATGCATTTCTCTCGCTCACAGCTGTTGCTTGCACAGGTGGACTAAGGCATGACTGAGGTGGCTACTTAGTGAACTGGAGGTTCCTATTCAGAACATAAATTCATAGAAAGGCATCTTCAGGTAAAGAAGGAAGAGAAGAGAAGTGGCACTCCACAGGGGTCTGTATCGTTTTCATTATTTCTGTGAGGGACATGAAAACGTGTGGAGGGATCCACTGAAGAATTTGATGGTATTCCTCCTGCTTCAGAGGAAGCCTGTGCTGAGGGGATTTCATTCTATCACAAAATAATTGGGATAGAGGTCCTTGAATCAGCAGGCTCTATGCTTCTGGCATTTAATCGGACTCAGATGGTGGCTGGGAAAAAATTATTTTACCATCTCCTGTTCGTTTAAGACTAAAAATGTTTGAGGTGTCATAGAAGAATGTAAAGTCCATTTTACAATGATGCCAGGGTCAGTGTTCAAGGGTTTAAATAACATAAACAGAAAAAAACCCAAGCAGGAATCATGTTTATACTGCAAAGTTGTGACATCTCTGTTAGCACACAGCAATCTTGAAATTCTCTCAGCTAGTGCTCCTCTCCAAATATAAAATTAATCACGAAGACTTTCAATGGCTTTACTTACTAAACTGTACCTTATTATTTATACCAATATGAGAAAATGCTTTGGCAAATGAGACAATGTCAACATATGTCAAAAAGGTGGAGGGGACTTCTAGTTAAAAAAAAATGGGGCACCTGGGTGGCTTAGTCAATTAAGCATCTGCCTTCAGCTCAGGTCGTGATCTCAGGATCCTGGGATAGAGTCCTAAGTTGGGCTCCCTGCTCAATGGGGAGCCTGTTTCTCCCTCTTCCCCCCGCCTCCTGCTTGTGCTCTCTCTCTCTCTGTGTCACATAAATAAATAATATCTTTAAACAAAACAAAATAAAACAGGGGTCCTGGAGTGGCTCAGTGGTTTAAGCAGCTGACTCTTGATCTCAGCTCAGGTCTTGATCATGAAGTTGTGAGTTCAAGCCCCACACACTGAACTCCATGCCCAGCACGGAGCCTACTTAAAAAAATAATTAATAAATAAATAAAAATAAAATAATTTTAAAAAGACAAAAAACTATTGATAACACACAGGTCAACTTTTTCTCAGGACATCTGAAATGACATAGGAAATCTAAACTGGACTTTCTATTTAAGACGGTAGGTTAAGCAGAGCATGAAATCTCTTCCTTTCTCTCAAACTCATGAAGTGATAGAAAAGAGGTGAAGAAAATGATTAAATACATATTTATTCTTGAAAACCAAAGAGGAGTATCTCCCTGGATTAGAAAGACACATCTCAAAATAGGAAACAAACAGGAAGCTAGAGTGGTAAAAGAGGCCAAAGCTTTCAAAAGATTTTATTGCTATATATGCATATATATACACATGTGTGTTTGTGCGTGTGTGTGTTTGCAGAGCAGATTTTACCCAACATACCATCTAGTAGTTTAAAACTTGAGCTTGAACTAAGAGTCACATAAAACTTGAACTTCTCAAGATTTGGGTTAATGCTCCTACAAGGTGGTTTTATAAGGAGGTCATCATAATCCTTAACGGGCAAGGAAAAAGTCATTCTTAGAGAATAAAAACATAGCAGCAAAACATCAACTAAGCATCTGTAACTCTAACACATGCAGTAAAGAAAACAAGATCTACTTATGGAAGAATTTAAAACTGAAAAAATAGAAATTATGAAGCAACCTGAAAAGAACTTTTTTAAATATGTATATTTCCTATCCAGGTAAAGATAGACATGGTATGTCTAAAAAAGATTTAAAAAATTCAGTTTGGGACACCTGGGTGGCTCAGTCAGTTAAACATCTGACTCTTGATTTTGGCTCAAGTCATGATCTCAGGATCATGAGATCAAGCCCAGAGTCAGGTCTGTGCTCAGCAGGGAGTCTGCTTGAAATTCTCTTCTTCCCTCTCCCTCTTCCCTCTGCCCCGCCCCCCATGCTCTCTCTCTAAAATAAATAAATAAATCTTTAAAAAATATATTCAATTCAAAAATGGTAAGAGAAAAGAAAAATGGGGCAGGTAGAAATTAGTAGAAATAGTTGACTATAACAACAATGAAGACTACCAAATGGACTAAACTCAAGTTAGAGGGAAACGAGAATCACACTGGATTTAATTAATGTGTTAGTCCTGAAGGACTCACCCCAATGAAGACCAAGTAATTAACTTACGAACAAAATCACCAAAACCACTACTATTAGCATCAGTAAGTATAAATAAGAAATAACAGATTTTGACCGACAAAGACTCCAGATGTTTAACTTGATGCTACATGAAATGATTGAATGAAATATTTGATATAAATTTGATATATAATTAAATATATATTCTATATAATTTGCACTCACCAAGAAACTATTGGAAAGAGAAAGAAAGATTTAGAAGAAAAGTCTTCAAGGAGAGCAAAATGTATTTATAGAAATAAAAAATTTGGTGGATGAGTGACACAGCAGTTTTATGCATTAAAGAGAGAACTGGTAACCTGAGAGATATAGCTACAAATAATATAGATAGATGGAGGGATGGATGGATAGATAGATAGGTAGACAGATATTCAAAATACAATGAAAGAGGAATAAGGAGATAAGAAAACATGATGGAGATATTGGATCATAGGAGATGTTGGATCCTAGGGTGATAAGGACCAATGTGAGTCTACTCATAGCTCCGTAAGGACAGCATGGGGGGAACTGGAGGAAAGGCATCTCAGAAAAGTATGGGTCTGCAGATGTAGTAAGCACAATTTGCCCCAAACAGGATAAATCAAGAGAAATTCCTTAAGACATACTTTGTAAAACTAGAAGGCTCCAAGGACAAAGAAAATATCTTGAACAGCCAGAGAGAAAAGACAAGATCATACCTTGTTTAGGATGAAGATAAGGGTATTTTTATATTTAGATTTTGATATATTAGAGAGGCATGATAAAATTTCAATGGTCATTAATAAGGGATTAAAAGTGGAATGTATACATTTGAAGGACAGAAAAAAAGGTTGAGGAAGAAAATACCAAAAAAAAAGAAAAGAAAATATAAAAAATAATTATATCCAAAAATGGGAAGGGAAAAGAAAAACAGCATAGGAAAATAATTGAAAAAGTTCAAACATTTCAAGAATCAGGACAACCAAATGGGCTATATTTAGCATTTTTTTTTAAAGAAATCATTCACAGTGGATTTAATAAATGTGTTAGCTTTTCCATAGCTAAAGACGAGAGCAGCTGTATAGTAATCGACCTCCCCAGTTTCCTTCCCAATATGTGATGAAACAACTACATAACTAGGAAAATTCTACACAAAATTGTGCCCTTGCCATTTATATCAGTCTGCCCAGGGGGCCATAACAAAATACCACAGATAGGTGGCTTAAACAATATAAATGTGTATCTCCTACTTCTGTAGGCTGGAAGTCCAAGATCAAAGTCTGGCAGGGCTCTGTTTTGGGTCACAGCTCTCTTCCTGGCTTGCAGACAGCTGCTTTGTCCTCACATCCTCTGAGCATGCACGTAGAAAGAGATAGAGAGCTCTCTGGTGTTTCCTCTTCTGAGTACACTAATCCTATTGTGTCAGGGCCCCATTGATATGACCTCATTTAACCTTAATCACTTCTTTACTTCAAATACAGCCACATTATGGGTGAAGGTTTTATATAAGAATTTGGGAGAACATATATATTCAGTTTATCACATTCCACCCCAGTCCCCCCCAAATTCATGTCCTTCTCACATGCAAAATACATTTATTCTATCCCAATAGTCCCAAAAGTTTTAATTCATTCCTGCATCAATTCTAAAGTCTAAAGTTCAAACTATCATCGCAATATTTAAATCAGATATGGGTGAGATTGGACATATGATTCATCCTGAGGCAAAACTCCTCTCCAGGTGTGAGCCTGTGAAACTGAACTAGTCATGTGCCTCCAATGGCAAGACATTCACATTCCAAAAGGGAGAATTGGGAAGAAGAAACAAAACCTAGCAAGGCAAATTTCCACTGGCTCGTAAGGCTCAAGAATAATCCTCTTTGATCTGATGATCTGCCCCCTATGCTCGCTGGATGGCAGCATCATGCCCAGGCTCTGTGAGGATGGCCCTGGGCAGTGGCATCCTGGACCCTGAAAAGGAAGAGGCTCAACCCTTTGAAACAGAAAAACTAGCCCTGCCCTCTGGGCCAGTGGTGGGAATGACTACCCTGTTGATCTCTGAAGCACCTTTGGGGTCATTCTTCCCTTTTCTTGAAGGATGACATATGTTTGTCATGTGATAGCTCTATTATGTGGTCCTGTAGAATCTAAGAAGCCTGACAGCCTTCTTTCATTACATCCCCTTTTTCTGTCTCTTTCAGTACAAGTGGGCAGTATTTCTGCTGGTATAATCACATCTCTATTTCTGGCTTTTCTGAGATGGCTGATTAAATTCATGGTTCACAACCTTACTAAACTCCTTATCCAATGGTTGTCCAAAACAAGCTTTCCCAATGTTTTGCAATATGGATAAGCTGAGGGTTTTCCAAATCTCCAAGTTCTGGTTCCCTTTTTCTTAACAATGCCTTCAGTTTACCTTACTTCCCTCACATTTTATTATAAGCAGTCAGGAAGATCCAGTCCCCACTTTCAACATTTTACTTAGAAATCTCAGCTAAATTTCCAATTCATCTCTTGAAAAATTCCACCTTCTACGAAACACTAGAACATAATTCAGCCAAGTTGTTTGTCACTGGATTGCCTTTCAGGCAGGATGCGGGGACAGGGAGAGCTGATGCCCTGGTTCATAGGCCATCAGACAGGAAAGAATTTTCTCTTACTCAGAAGAGGGTCAGCTTTTTGTTCTAGTCATGCCCTCAACTGACTGGGTGTGGCCCACCCACAGTAGAGAGAGCAATCTGCTTTAATCAGTCAATAAACTTCAATGTTAATCTCTTCTAAAAACACTCCCACAGAAACACCTAGAACAATGTTTACCAAAAATCTGGGCACATCATGGTCCAGTCAATTTGACACATAAGATTAACCATCATACTATCACTTGAAGACAGAGAACGCTAACATTGCAAATTCGCTGAGAATGTAAAAAGAAAATTCACCAAATCCCAGTGTGCAGTTTCTCATAGTACCTCTCTACTGCCCCCAGCCACAAGGCTTTGCTGTGAGCAAAAGCAGACTGAGAGAAAGAAAAAACAAAAATTCAGATAATTTCCATGAAAGAAATAGAGAAAATTAGAGGGAACTACCATCCCCAAAGCACCAGACCTAGATGGTTTCATAAAGGTACTCTACCAAATCTTCAAACATCAGATAATCCCGATGGTGCAGGAATAATTCAAGAGTACTGAAAAGAAAAGAAAAATCCCAAATTCTTTTTTCGAAGGACGTATGATACAAATCAATAAACCACATAAAGACTATGCAAAAATGAAAACCAAAGACCAATATCATTAATGAATATCAACAAATGTATACTACAAGAAAATATTAACACACAGAATCCAGTATTACTTTAAGATAGTAATTTGCAGTTAACAACTAGTTTTTGTTCCTGGAATATAAGTTGGTTCAATATTATAAAATATATTAATATAATTTATCATATCAATAAATATAAGGAGGGAAACATATGATTATCTCCATAGATGCTGACAAAAACTTTGACCAAATTTAACACCCATTTATTATCAAAAAACTCAATAGGAACTGAGAGATTTTTCATGATATAATAACATAATAATAGAAATACAGAGAGAAATAGAAATACTTAAGTCCTAAAACCAGAATCTCATTTACTAGGAAAACAGTAGATGAGGAACAGGACAATGATATTCACTATCTCTGCTACTAGTGGACATTTTACTAGACTACTCACAAGAGAAAGCAATTGGTGGCATAAGTATGAGTAAAGAACTAGCACTATCTCTATTTTCAGATATTATACCTGTAAACTCCCAGAGAATTAATGATAGAACTAACCTAAATTATAAAAGAATTCAGTAACATTTGATCATATAAAGTCAACAACCTTCATGTACCCAAACAATAGGCATATGGCAGATTTAACCACATTTCTAATTGCAAGAGAGGAGATTAAATACTTAGGATTAAATTTAACTAGAAGTATGCAAAACCTATATGATGACAACTATAAATCATTCCTGAAAGACACAAAAGTCAGTTTAAAAAAAAAAATAGAGGAGAGCCTGGGTGGTACAGTTGGTTCAGCATCCAACTCTTGGTTTCAGCTCAGGTCATGATCTCAGGGTCGTGAGATTGAGCCCTGTGTCAAGCTCCGTGCTCAGTGCAGAATCTACTTGAGATTCTCTCTCCCTCTCCCTCTGCTCCTCACCACCTCCCTTCATGCTCTCTCTCTCACACAAAAAAAAAAAAACCAAAAAAAAAAAAAAGTCCCCTTTTGTGGATATGATGACTTAACATTGTAAAGATATCTGTTCTCTGTAAATTAATTTATAAGCTCAATGTAATGTCAATAAAAATACCAAAGAGAGATTTTAAGGAGTTAGACAAACTGACACTAAAGTTCACATGGAAAAACAAAATGTAAGAACAGCCAGGGAAACAATGGAAAAGAAAAATATGAGAAAGAACTAGCCCTGCCAGTTATTAAAACATACTAGAAAGACCACAACTAAACAGCATGGTACTGGCATGTAAGTAGGCAAATAAATCAGGAGAATAAAAATAAAAGTCCAGAAATACACCCAAATATATATGGAAATTTAGAATATGATAGAGGGGGGCATCTCACACCACTGAGGTAAAGATGGACTTATTCAGAAATGATTCTTTGACAAGTGGATGGTCATTTGGGCAAAAAATAAAATGAGACCCATACAGTATCCAAATTAGGCTCTAATTACATTAGAAATATAAATATATATTTAATATATAAAATGAAGGTACATAGGTACCAGAGAAAAGCACAGATGAATCCTTTAATCTTGGAGTGCAAAAAGACTTTTGAGTTATGACTCAAAATCCAAAGGCAGTACAAGAAAAACTTGACAAATTCAATGCATAAAAATGAAAAAAAATTCTAGGAAGAAAAAAGCACCAAAAACAAAGTGAGAAAACAGCCAATAAATTGGGATAAACTATTACATTATATGTCACAAAGGGCTAATAAGTTACTATGTCCTTATCTTTTATCTTAATTTTTAGCAGCTTCCTATAATGGCTTAAAATTGGGTTTTCTCTGTCCTTCATCCTGCTTGGGATTTGATGAGATTCTCACATCCATGGGATGATTTTCTAAGTCAAATATGGCAGACTATCAGACATTATTTTTCAGATTCCTCTTTCTCTGGGACTTCATTTACCCTAATTTTAGATTTTTTTCATATTGTCCTGCAAGTCATTAACATTATTTTAACTAATTAATTAATTAATTATTGCCTCTGCACTGCTGTTTGCATAATTTCCATTTGCCTCTTTTCATTGCATGAATCCTTTCTTCTGCAATGTCTCTTCTTTTTTTTTTTTAAAGATTTTTTATTTATTTATTCATGAGAGACAGAGGAGGAGAGAGAGAGAGGGAGAGAGAGAGAGAGAGAGAAGCAGAGGGAGAAGCAGGCTCCCAAGGAGCAGGGACCCCGATGCGGGGCTCCATCCCAGGACCCCGGGATCACGACCCGAGCCGAAGGCAGACGCTTAACCATCTGAGCCACCCAGGCACCCCGCAATGTCTCTTCTGATGTTAATCCATCTAGGGAAGTTTTATTTGTAGATACTGTATTTTTAATTCTAGAACTTCCTTTTGGTTCTTTTTAGAGATTCCTGATCTCTCCTGAAAACCTCTGTCTCCTCACCTACTACAGCCGCCTTTTCCTGTATATTTATAAAATATTTAGCATGGTTATTTTGTCTGCTAGTTCCAAAATGTGGGTCCTTTCTCTCTCTGCTTAGTAACTTTTACTGCATACTAAATATTCTGAATGATATATTTATAGACATTCTGTATTCCATTTTCTTTCTCTAAAACTGCTAAGGTTTTGCTAGTAGACAGTGAAATCACTGGCAGCTCACTTTGGTCTTATGGAGACTTGTGCTAGGTTTTGTGAGAGCAGATCTACTTTGGTTTTATCTGTATCTCTTAGAGTCCTTTGAGGATTCACTGAAAAGTTCAAGTTGTAGATCAGGCACCTCGAGTCTGAAAGGTTTTTAACTCTAAATTCTGTCTCCCTAGCTATGGACAGCCACGAACACCAAGGCTCCTCAGTCACTCAGCCTTCCTGCAGCTGCTGATGCCAGAGCCATCTGGAGTCTTACCCTGTGTTCCTGCAATCCAGGACCTGGCCAAGAACTTGGTAGAAGTTCACATGCAGATTTGGGACCTCCCCAAGGGTGGCTCCTTCTTTTCTGGGATTTACTCCATCAATTTCCAGTGAGTGTTGACAATGCCTAATTCTGACCTCTGATTTCTGATCTCATTAAGACCATCGATCTCTTCCTGAGCTCTATCCTTGTTTTGTCATGTGAATGGACATGAATGCCCTGGGAAGAGAAGTCAGATGAATGACTTCCATTCCAATGTCTCCTCATTGCAGTTACTTTCTTACAAGGGTTGTATTTTATCCCGTTGATGGCTGTTTGCGGTCTTTCCCAGGGCTTTCTAACAAGTTTATAATTGTAGCAGCAGGAGGGTTAGTCGAATACAAGCTACTCTGCCATTATTAGAAGCCACAAGTCCTATGTTAATAATGAATATTTAACAATGTCCTAAAAATTAGTAACATAAAAAAACCCAATAGAAAAAATTTTAAAGATACAATCAATCGGGCACTTCACAGGAGAGGCAATAGATTTAAATAAACATATGAAAATATGAAAGAATGCTCAGCCTCATTAGTAACTAGGACAATACAAAATAAGACCATAATGAGATATTGGTTCATATCCATTTGAATGACAAAAATAAAGAAGGTAGGTGATACGAAATGGTAGGGAGAAAGTGGATCAATAATAGAATGTCATATATTCTGGTGCAAATGTAAACTGGGGAAGAATAGTAGTCAATATCTTGTCAATTTGAATATTCATATAACCTAGGACCCGTCATTTCCACTTCTGTTCAAGAGAAATTTTTGTATATGTTGCAATAGATTTTCTATGGTCAACTTAGTATTATCCCAAGTCTCTTCTATACTTCCTACATAGAAAGGAAGCAGAATAGGAACTATAATTCCCAGATGTCTTGCCAATAGGATTATAGGTTAGATGATACAATTATGAACCACTTCTGTGAAATTAGAAAGGGCAAAATGAAAGAGAAGCCATTAGCTTCCCAAAGCAGCAGTAAGCAAAGCAGGGAACATTGGGAGGGAATAGAAAAAGGGTTTGGCCAGGGCTTCTGATCATTCTGCTGAAAGTAGCCCACTTCACTAGTGTGAGGAGCTGAGATTATTGACTATGGCTTCCCTGCTCCTCAAGATCTCCTGAAAGCCAGCTGTAGTCTCTCTGACCTTCACCTCTCAAGTCCTTCAAACAAAGGTGTAAGCCCCTAATGCCCTGTATAAAATCCCTTTCCTATTCATTATACTCTGAATAGAGGGTTTTTTTTTTTCATTTTTACAATAAAAGCAATGTGAATACCATCAACCCAAGAACAGATATATAAGTAGTGGTATGTACATAAAATAAAATATTTTACATCAACAACATGGACAAATCTCAGAATCTTAATCATGAATGAAAAGGAAGTCCCAGAAGATTTCATACACAAGTACCCTTTTAATAAGGTACAATAATATGCAAAAGTAAACCATTTATTTTAGGCATAGATCTCTGTGCGTCATAAAAACTTTTAAAAAGCAAATGAAAAATAAACACAAAACTTATGACAGTGGAGTCAGAGAAATAGAGACACGATAAAAAAGGAACATGGAGACATATGTAAGTTATTGCATAAGTTTCTGTTAATGACTTACTTCGCTGGCATATTCATGGGTATCCACTGTATTGTGAAAATAAATACTAAATAAATTAATTAAAAATGATACTGTCTACAGGGCACCTCAGTGGCTCAGTTGGTTAAGCATCTGACTCTTGGTCTCAGCTCAGGTCTCGATCTCAGGGTGGTGAGTTCAAGCCCTGCATTGGGCTCCATACTGGGTATGGAGCCTACTTGAAAAAAAAAAAAGAAAAGATACTGGGTAGAACAATGATGTTAATGTGTTCATGAACCCAGGATTAAAACAAACCCAATTTTGTGTACCCAAATCCTTAAGAGAAAACCTCAGGACATGGTTTTAACAACCGGAGAGTAAATCAGTCAACTGGAAGACTGGACTGAAAAATTATTTTAAATGTAGCACAAAGGAGGGGGAAAAAAAGATGAAAAGTTATAAGAAAATTTAAAACATTTGGAATAGAAACCCCAAACTGGATATATCTATAATGATATTTCTAGAAGCAAATAAGAGAAAGCATGAAAGATAGGCAATACTAGAAAAAAAAATAGCCAATTGTTTCCCAGAACTAGGAGGAAAAAAACATGAGTCGTTAGGTTGTCAGCGCTCAGTAAGAGCCAGGAAGGAAAACAAATATAAAACCTCACTCCAAATGCCATAGCACAAACATATATAAAGAGAAAAAACGGGGTGCCTGGGTGGCTTAGTCCGTAAAGCATCCAACTCTTGATTTCCGATCAGGTCATGATCTCAGGGTCGTGAGATCGAGCCATTAGTTGAGCTCTATGCAGGGCATGGAGCCTGCTTAAGATTCTCTTTCTCCCTCTGCACCAACCCCTCTCATGCTCTCTCTCTATAAATAAATAAACAAACAGACAAAATCACAAAATCTACCAGAGAAAACAGAAAGATTATCCTCAAAAATAAGAATCACACTGCCATCAGATTGCTTATCAGTACCACAGACTACAAGAAAGCACTGGAAAAATATTTCTAAATCCTGAGAGAAAACAACTTTGAACCTAGAACTCAATGCAAAATAAAACCTCAAGAGTAAAAGTTAAATGAAGATATTTTAATATGTTTAAACACTTAAAATTCTACTACCTATAAACTCTCACAGAAGTAAGCTATTCTAACAAGAAAAGAAGTAAACACAGAAGGAACACTTAGATTAAAAAAATACAATGGCAAGCAATATATAAGCAGGAAGGTCTATTAGTAGTAGCTGAATAAATAGTGATAATAAACAAAATTATTTTAATAATTAGTTGAAATTAAAAATCAGATGATAGATGGGTTATGGTGTTGTTTTTTTGTTGTTTGTTTTTTATTTTGTTTTGAGGTGGCTGGTGGTTAATGAGTGGAACCCAGAATAAAAAACATTGCAACATTTTTAACTTCCTGGAGGGGGTAGAAAGTAACTGAATAACACCAGACCTTATTAGAAACTCTAACATGTATTTATGGGTGTTAAAAATGTACAGGTAAATATGGAGGATTGAAATTGAAAGTATAGCTTTAAACCAATACAGGAAAAAATAGAACAATGAAATGAACAATTCAACAAAATTACGATGGAGAAGAAAAGGAAACAATGACCAAGCATGGTACAGGCACACCTCATTTTATTGTGCTTCGCTTTATTGTTATTTCACAGATATTGGTTTTTTTTTTTTTTTGACAAATGGAAGATTTGTGGCAATCCAGCATCCAGCAAGTCTATTGGCACCATTTTTTCCAACAGCATTTGTTCAATTCGTGTCTCTATCACATTCCATTAATTCTTGCAACATTTCAAACTTCTTTGTTATTACTGTATTTGTTATGGTGATTTGTGATCAGTGACTTTGATCTTTCGTGATACTATTGTAATTGTTTTGGGGTGCCAGAACCGAACCCATGTAAGATGGCAATATTAATTGATAAATGTGTGTGTTCTGACTGTTTCACTGACCAGCTATTCTCACATTCTCTTTCCCTCCCCTGCTCTCTGAGACACAACAGTATTGAAACTAGGCCAATTAATCACCCTACAATAGCCTCTAAGTGTTCAAGTGAAAGGAAGAGTCACACATCTCTCACTTTAAATCAAAAGCTAGAGATGATTAAGCTCAGTGAGGGAGGCACGTGGAAAGCTGAGCTAGGCTGAAAGCTCGGCCTCTTGTGTCAGTCAGCCAAGTCGTGAATGCAAAGAAAAGTTCTTGAAGGAAAGGAGAAGTGCCACTCTCGTGAACACGTGAATGATAAGAAAGCTGATACGGAGAAAGTTTGAGCAGTCCTGACGATCAAAGCAGCCACAACCTTCCCTTAAGCCAAAGCCTCATCCACAGCAAGGCCCTGACTCTCTTTGAAGTCTATGAAGGCTGAGAGAGGTGAGGAAGCCACAGAAAAGTCTGAAGCTAGGAGAGCTTGGTTCATGAGGTTTAAAGAAAGAAGCCTCCTCCATAAAGTAAAAATGCAAGGTGAAGCAGCAAGTGCTGATGGAGAAGCTGCAGCAAGTTCTCCAGAAGATCGAGGTGGGAGAGTTAATGAAGGTGTCTGCAACTAAACAACAGGTTTTCAACGCAGATGAAACAGCCTTCAATTGGAAGAAGATGCCATGTAGGACTTCCATAGCTGGAGAGGAGAAGTCAATGCCTGCCTTCCAAGGACAGGCTGACTCTCTTGTTAGGAGCCAATGCAGCTGCTGACTAAGTTGGAGCCAATGCTCACTCACCATCCAAAAATCCTTGGGCCCTTAAGAATGATGCTAGATCTACTCAGCCTGTGCTCTATAAATGGAACAACAAAGCCTGGATGACAGCACATCTGTTTACAACATGGTTTCCTGAATATCTTAAGCCCACTGTGATCCTCTACTGCTGAGAAAAAAATGATCCATTTCAAAATATTAGTGGTCAATGACAATGCACCCAGTCACCCAAGAGCTGGTGGAGATGGACAGTGAGATAAATATTGCTTTCATGCCTCCTGACACAACATCCATTCTGAAGCCCAAGGACCAAGGAGTGATTTCGACTTCCAAATCATATTACTTAGGAATACATCTCATAAGGCTATATAGCTGCCATGGATAGTAATTCTTTTGGGGGATCTGAGCAAAGTCAATGGAAAACCATCTGGAAAGGATTCACCATTCTAGATGCCATTCAGAACATTCATGATTCATGGGAAGAGGTCAAAATATCAACATGAACAGAAGTTTGGAAGAAGTTGACTCCAACCCTCATGGATGACTTTGAGGGGTTCAAAATTCCAATGGAGGAAGTCACTGCAGACGTGGTGGAAACAGCAAGAAAGCTAGAAGGGGAGCCTGAAGATGGGACTGATCAAACCTGAACAAATGAGTTGCTTCTTATGGGTGAACAAAGAAAGTGGTTTCTTGAGATGGACTCTATTCCTGGTGGAGATGCTGGGAAGATTGTTGAAATGATGACAAAGGATTTAGAATATTACATAAACTTAGTTGATCAAGC